TGGTTGAACTGCTTGGGTTATTGTTTATTTTAGAGGCCTGTCTAATCTTTGGCTGAAGGGTAAACCTCAGGAGTGACTTCAGTACTGAATTAAAAGGGTGTCTGGGGGCCGTACTCTTGGGGTTTCTCCAGTCTCTGTCAGACCAGTAAGTCTGATCTTTTCTTCTCTTTTCTTTTTTGTGAGTTAGAATTTTGTTCTGCATTTTTCTCCAGGTCTTTCCTGTACCCTCTATTTGTAATCCCCGTCAGAGTAGTTAGTGATAGTAGCCGGGCACCATCTAATTGTACTGGACTCAGTCTGGTGGAGGCTGTGGTAGATGTGGTCCATTAGTCCGTTGGACTAATCTTTCCCTTGTGTCTTTGGTTTTCTTCGTTCTCCTCTGCAGGTGGGGTCTAGTCATAGTCTTAAAGGAGAGTGGTGGGAGATGCCATATGATAGATGATCAGTGATGCTGACAATTGGAGGAATTATAATGAGATACCCTTCCACCAGGACAGAGGTTTGCATGTTAAGAGAAGCAGGGAAGCAGGGATGCCCTCTTCCATGTAAGCTGCTCAGAACCAGCTGGACATGGTGGCTGTCTTTCGGTAGTTGAAAAGTGACAAAGCCACGTTTTCAACTCTTTTCTCCTCGGCTCACATATATCTCCTCTTCAATACATTATATATTTGACATTAAATTATCAAGGACTATTATACACATTTTTGATGTAATTATCTCAAATATCCTTTTGTATATGAGTACCTGTGGGATTGATTGCCATTGTACAAGATGGCCATGTGGACTACACCAAGGTCATGAAACTACTTGGGGTCATTTAATGTCAGCAGTACCAACAGTCCTGGCAAGGTCAGGAGAACTCACCAAATAATCCCAAAGTGGAGATTATCTCACTGTTTCTTTCAGAGTGATGGAGGCAAGATTCTTAGAGCTGAAGACTCTAGCAAGAAGTATGGGTTCATCGTGTACTTTATTCTCTTTACTTGGTTGACGTATAAATGGATTTTGAGTCCTGAGTGCTTTTTCTTGTTGACTGGGACTCATTTGGCCTGAATTTCTACAAATTAGCTATAACTAATGGTTTCAGAGCCATTTTAGAATGAGGCGGAAGAAAAATAAAAACTAATGTACCATTATGTTTTGCTAGTGGCGTAGGAAAATGATAATGTATTGTAATGCCATTGAATTCCTGAGTTTTGCCTTTGTAAGAAATCATTACTATGCTTAGTCACATGCAAGGGCACATAGCTATCTTGGATTATCTCCTTTGATTGTCGCTGTTTTGTTTCAGTCTTTACCTTGTACCTACCCAAAATCCTAGCACTTATTTAGTACATAGGAAAGATCCTAATGACAAGCGTCTTAGTCCTGCATAGCTGTGGTGTGCTGTATGAAGTCTGTGGCGGACAACTTTCAAAAGACACATATTGGGTGCTGTAAGAGGTATAAGATGTGGGGCTCAGTGTGAATTGTTAGGCATAGTGCATTTTGCCCCAGTGCTCTAAACTAACATGACTTAGGGCGATGCTCTAGGGTGGAAGAATTCTTTGCCTCTGTTGTAGTAGTTACTGTGCTGCTTGCATCCCCAATGCCAACTCCAACCACAGAGTAGGTTCAGGAGACGCAGGAATTAGCACAGCCTGCGGGACAGATTTCTGAAGGTGAGTATTCTGGTATCTGAGGCACACAAACGAGCACATGGCATGAATGGTGAGGGAGAAACAGGAAAGAGAAGCCAGTTTGTTGGTGTTTGTTACACCTGAGACAGGAAAGGTAAGATCCAGGAGTGGAGACAGCTGACTGTTGAGGGCCCTGTGGGCTGGCAGTGCTTGGCCAAACCTCACATCTGAGCAGGGCTTTTAGCTCTGCAACCATGAAGCTGCTCTGTCGGAAACTCAGAAGTGATTAGGGCACACTCTAGCCTGCCCTTTAGAAGTCATAATCCTAATCTTTTAATTTTGAGGGATAGGTAAAACTGTCAAATGGATGGGACACTTGTGTCAACAGGTCAGTAGATTGTCATCATATTTCAACATTCTCTACAAAAAGCCAGTTAAAAGCACATGGTGGCTTGGTGAGTATGGACTTCCAAAGCAGCAGTATTGAACGGCAAGTGATGTTGAGCTTGTTTCATCTGTTGTCAGATGTTTCCATCTAAAAACTAAACAGAGAACCAGGAAAATCTTAGGTGTCTGTTACACAGGGCATTTCTCTTGCAGAGCGTTTGATCCTCATCTTCTGGACTCAGTGTTGACTGAGACGTCTCCTCTGCTGATGTCATGATGTCGGCCGCAGCTTCTGGTTATGCCACCACCTCATTGCCTCAGTTGGCAAGAGCAATGCCTAGTGTGCATGTGGGGGTTAAGGGTAGGGAATAAAATGATAATTCTCTTTTTTACATCAGCATTGTGCATCTTTGTCCTTGATTGGCTGATTAGGATCAATTTATTGAACATTCCCAATGGGGAAGCTCTCGATTGTGCATGGGTTATATCTCAGTTAGAAGAGTACTTTCCCCTAATGTGTTAGGAAAACTAAGAATAATCTGCCCGACATCCAGGAGTGCCAGGTCCTCGCCAGCAGTCCATAGGCTGAGCAAGGGCAGGGCGTGAAGCCAAAGGGAACATCAGGGCTACTGCTTCACTTCCAGCAGAAACAGAACATTCATGGGAGGTAGAGTTCTAATTCTAATCACAAGAACCTTACAAGTGGAATTGGGCTTTGAGTCAATTGGAGATTATGAAACGCATCTTGCGGATTTGGGGAGGGTGGCAAGACCTGACAACAGGTAAGATGTGTTCTCATGTAAAACAATGCTCGGTATGTGTTGGCAAATTTATTGTTTGCAACGTTATTGTCCAAGGGTCAGATAAACATGCAAAGAAAAGCTAACTTTAAGTTAGAGTTGATATAATTAGATTTAATATAATAGCCACATTTACAGATGTTACATGTGTTTTCTGATGTAGTGAGTGGACAGTCAGGCGCTCTTTAAAAACTGGATCATATTCAAAATATATGTAATTAATTTTATACTTGAGGCAAGGCAATCATTTATTAAGGAAAGCAATCAGATGTGTATGAGAGGTTAATTTTTTTGTATCACAACCAGAATAATTATTTCACACTCAAAGTTGACTTGTTTGAAGTTATTTTAAATGCCAACTTTATTTTTTTCATAGTAAAGAAATGTTTTGATGTGCAGACACCTTCTGCCATTTAATATTAATCTAAAAACAGCTAAAACATCTTTCCACCTCTAGCTAGAATCCTTTTATTACTGCTGAGACCAACCCTCATTAACTGATGGGAATGCACTGTTTTGCTCCCAGTGTAATTTTAGAGTCTTGGTGGGTAATCACATTCCGCAGTAAATGTTCAGTAGATGCTGCGTAGTGCACAAGTGTATGAGAACAGCCAGCCAGTGTCTTCTTCATGCTAAATGTGGTTCCCCACGTCTCCTGACTAGAGGTGTGCTCTGAACAAGCCGAGACGGGGCCGTGCCGAGCGATGATCTCCCGCTGGTACTTTGATGTGACCGAAGGGAAGTGTGCCCCGTTCTTTTACGGCGGATGTGGCGGCAACCGAAACAACTTTGACACTGAGGAGTACTGCATGGCCGTCTGTGGCAGCGTCAGTAAGTGGACCTTCCTCGAGCCTGGCCACCTCTCGTCTCTCTCGCCGCTGACTCTGCTCTCTGTAACAGATTGATTTTCCTGGGTCTGGGCAATGCATCTGTTGCTACCACTAACCACATTTCTGTCCTCCTCTTTAATTGCCCGGAGTCTCCGTAGTCTATTCAATCATGAGCCCACATCTCTGTCTTTTTCTAATACAGCATGGCCCTGGGTGTGTTCTTTTACTAGCTGTGGTAGCTGCCTCTTGCCATCTGTAGGAACCTTTGAGTGCTTCTCTTTAAACCAAAGCTGGGGTTGCCATTTTGTCTTCTGCAGCCGTTTCTGCAAATGTATGCCTACACGTGTGTCTGTGTACATGTGTGTTCGTGTTTATGCATGTGCACTACACGTGCAAATAAAGTCTGCTCCTGGAAGCCTGGCTGATGAAGCTGCAGTTGCATTGACAAGGTGGTGTACTGCTGTGGTGAATAACTTTCAGTCGTTTCATAATATATGTCTTTTATTGTGGCTGTGGAGCCCTGCTGGTGCAGTGGTGAAGAGCTCAGCTGCTAACCAAAATCCACCAGCTGCTCCTTGGAAACCCTACTCTGTTCTATAGGGTCACTATGAGTCGGAATCGACTCGATGGCAATGGATTTGGTTTGGTTTATTGTGGTTGGGGGTAGGGGGGATTGATTGAATTGAGTACATGCACCTCAGATGCCAGAGGGTAGACATGCCCTTGTTCCCCCTGAGCTCCCTCACAGACATTTGCAATGCCAAGTTTTTTTCTCTTGGAAATAGGTAGGAGAAAACTCTTAACATTAGAAACCTTCAGTGACATTAAGCACAGGGAATATAATTTTCAAAGCATTTTCTTTCAAACTTTAAGTTGTTCCTAACTTTGAGGATAAATATATGAAGTCATGATGACTTAGATATGAGATGCAACTTTTCATACCATAGTGGTTCTCAGGAGAAGTCCCAGATTTATGGGACTTCTGCTCTCGTTAATAGCCCTCCAAGTTAAATTCCCAATTTTATTATGTTACCGTTATCATGAGTAGCAAGTTTGAAGTCCTCGAGAAATAATTATTCAGTTTTCCAAATTAAACATTAAACGCAATACTGTGCTGAGACGTTCTGTTGACTCTTTCCTTTGCTCTTGTGAGGGAAACAGCCATCATTTCTCATCCAAGATTCCTAGGGATTACGCAAATTCTTTTCCAGCCCAATCATAGGATTAAGCAGAACAACAAAAGGATCTGGACAATCAAGACCTTCTATGGTGCAGGAGCCCAGTATGTAAGTGGGATCTAATGGAAGAGTTCCTGTTGATCTCCTGCCTGCCTGATGTTGGGAAGACAGGCCGTGTGTGAGATTAACTCCCTTTCTGTCTTGTGTGAGAACTGGTAACCCGGAAGGGTTCTAATCTGGCTCTCATTGCGTGATTGCAGCTTCTAGCTTGAAGTCTTCTTTCTTCAGGTTCAAACAAAGAAATTAATTAGGTCAGGTAATGTGGAACACAATGGAGGATTCTGTTGCTTGGAGTCTCTGGAACAAAGGACTTTTGTTACAATGATTCTAACTGGTTTAGCTGCCTGTGGAAGATTTCCTGGCATATTTTCAAATTTTGTCTCCCTTTCTCCAGAGGTGGATTTTTTTTCTGGAATAGTAAGTTATTTTTTGTAATAAGAAAGATTTAAAAAAAAAAAAAAGCAGTGGTGAGTTTGCCTTAAGAGTTAGAGATGACTTGACACACACACACCCTTGATCAGTTTGATTTGACTTGAGCTGTGAGCAAGCCGTGGGCCCCACAGGTCAGATGGAGCCTGTAGAAGTGCCCTGGTTGGCACACCCTTTGTGGAGAGACTTGGCAAAGGTAGATGCTCCCAGCAGGGAGTAGTGGACAGGATGGTCAGTACTTAAGAGGGGATAGATTATAGAATAAAGCATCAAGAAAGCAAAGGCAAGAGGCCAAAGATGAGTCAGAAGGGTGGACAGATCCAAGTGGAGAGTACAGCTTCACCAAATAGCCAGGGCTGCCCTATGAATGGGGAAATGAACAGAGATGCGGGAACAGATTGATGGGGATGGATGATACCTGGCACTAATGATGGAGGATAGGAGAAACAAAACCATCTAACAGGTTGCTTGGATGTGCCATCAGAGACAGAATATCCAGCATCTAAGACATTGATCCATTGCACAAATATATAGTATGTTTGTTTGTTTACCTTAGTTTTGTGGAGGGGCCAAACTTCAGGATATGTTTGGTGTTTTGTTTGTTTTTCATTCAGCGATTGTTTTGCTTTTTCCTCTTTTTTGCGACAGTGGAATCATGTGAGTCTCAGCCATCATCTCCAGGTTTCTATTGTTCTTCTTAGCTGTAATCTCTTACTTTCTCCATAGTGTCCCAAAATTTACTAAGACTACCCGGGAAACTCTTCCCCAAGATCCCGCTAAACGTATGTAATTGACTGGGAGGAGGGGAGGGCGAAGGAGTGCGTTGCATGGCTGGATTATGACCCTGGCATCACTGCCTTCTTTGCATGGTTCTGTGTTTCTTGAACACCTGCCTTTTAATAAGATGTTTATTCCCACTGCCTTGCTGCAGTTATGCCTAATTTTGCCAGGTCATTTGAGATGTCAGGGCTACGGGCATTGACTAAGCCTCTCCTATTTCTGATCAATTTCCTTTTTATTTAATGTGGTTCTGTTAAAATGTATATGTAATGTGATTATGTTTTATTTGGCATCACCATTCTATTTTCTCAAAACTCCTGAGATGCCACAACTTAACAAGAGGCCGTATACACAGTGACTTGTTTTCCAGAAAAATATTTAGTGTGCATGCATTCTAGTACATGGACGAATGCACGTGCCCAGGTTTCAGTTATGTGTGTCTCTGAGACAGCTGTTAAGTCCTAGGAGGTGGGAGGTCACTTTTCAACACCAGAGCCATCTCCTCCTCCTCCTCTCCCAGAACGCACAGTGGTGGGTCAGAGATGCCGGACTTCTGATCTTATCCTTAGGAAGCAGGGAAAGTGCTTTCTGTAAAGACCTGTTAGAGCAGCCAACCACTGTAGGTCTTATGATGTCCTCTGTTTTGTGATTATTTCGGTTGAGATATCAGTCTAGCTTTGTGTAAACATGTCAGACACAAATACTCATTTTTAAATTTGGATTAAATTCAGAAAATGATTTGTCCGGTTTCAGGTTAGAGATGATATATACTATTAATGTTTGTGATTGCTGGAAGAGACAATTTCAGTTTCAGCTTAGACATCTTATAATTAAAATGAGCTTTTATCTACAGAGTGATTTTATACTATCCTGAAAAACTTAGTCTCAAAATTAATGAAATTAACTCAGAACGAGAAAAAAAAAGATAAATTGTAGATGGGGAATTATGCACTTTTACAAAAGATTTCACCATAAATCATAGTGTTTTTTTGGTGGCCTCTCTAAGATATTCAAATTATGTATAGCTTTTGAAAAAAAATGGTTTTTACTGCCACAATAAGCATATTTCCTGCTGTTGTGAGAAAGTGTTTTTCTCTGAGAATGTCAAAGGTATGGCAAGTGGGTAGATACTGAAGGACCAGGGAAAAACTCTAGATATCACACTAGGATTGATAATACATCGATCGCTTAGTGTGCTACATTTTACCAAGCATTTCCACAGATCATTTATTTTTCTCAGAAACACTTTGTGGACATTTTTTTTTTTCATTTTCCTTTGTACACATGAGAAAGTAAAACTTCAAGAGCTTAATGAACTTGTCTTGAGCCATCGAACTGTTAAATGGCAGGCAGAACCAGGTAGCAGACTTTGGTGGCATTGTGGCTGTGTTCCACACTCCAAATGGCAAAGCAGTCGGTTCTGACATATTTCTCTAGATTAGTGAAATTATGTTTGAGGTACAGAAGTGCATTTTAAGGATATAGAAAATAGTGGCAAGAGGATAAAGAATATTTTTTTTTTAAAATAACATTTTTTCCTGAATACCATGCATGTAGCCTGCATCAGTAAATTAAATCTTTCCTACCCTTTTATAAAACAATCATTATTTTTTCTTTAAGTTTCATCTTATATCATTTTTGCATAGGAATTGTATTTTTTCTATTTTCAATTAATGGAAATGAACATCATCATTTAATAAATGTGTGTTCTTGAAGTATACATACCTGCTACTTGTACTGTCAACTCTTCCGAACAGATACTGAAAGTCTTTTGCAATTTTCTCTTTCCCAGTCATTTTCTTCCACCTACTTGCTGTGCGTTTGAGATCCTGACACTTTGCTTTTCTAGGGGAATGAAGCGGTTTTGGGAGCTATATTTTGTTGTCTTCCTACAGAGACTCTTCAATCACTGCAACTGAAGGGTTTTACAGTGTTAGTACAAACAGACTGGAGAAAGCATATAATTTCTAGTTATTTATAGCCTGAGTTGCTATGTGGTCTTATTTATAGCAAAGCTGCACGTTTGAATTAAAAAAGTCATGGTCATCTGGAGGTCAAACACAGATAGGAGACTCGAGTCGGAGAACATGAGCTGAGCTAGAAGGGGAATAAGCCCATTTCACTGGCCACTTGGGTTTGCAGTTTGTTCCTTTACTAACTTTGGGCTAATTGGATGGTATCTCTTTGCCCAGAGGTGGTTGGTTTTACGGGTTACTCAGTCTGAATTGCTTCTAATCACATAAGAAATGTGAAATGAGGTAGGAAAAGCTCTTCAGTTAAACTGATATAAGATTACAGATATGATGAAAATGTGTAATGGACTGCATTATAAATACAATAATTTTTCTGTTGAGTCTTCTTATTATTGCAATCAGACATTCCTAAATCTTTGCGGTTAAACCAGTTTTGAGCATTGCAATTTTAGGGGCACTGATTTTTTGTTTTTGTTGAGCAAGATAAAACTCTAAACCACAGTGGAAAGGAGAGAGATGTGAAGCTTAGAGGTTTCATGTCACGCCTAAGCTCATGAATTTGAATCATTTAAAAAATACTT